GCTTCTTGTCCTGTGAAATAATAAAGTTATTTTGTTTAAGCCATCCAGTTCATGGTAATTTGTAATGATGGCTACAGAAAATAAAAATAGAGAGGCGCATGGACCTCTTGCTTAGAAACTGGTAGATATGGGCTTGATAAGATGCTAGTTTCAGGACTAAACCCCAAGATTCTGGTCCTGTAGGCATGTACTTGAGGCTCAAATACCTGGATTTTGTTGTTTCCCATATGCACAACAAATGCTTTTGAATTGATTTTGCATATATATACAGATATCAGATTCTGAATTGTAGCTGTATCTCCTTTACTGCTGGCAAGGCTTCTCTAAGGGGTTCCCAGAGCCAATAGCCTGAAGGCAGGAAGCAGAATAGAGAAGAAATAGGGTGGCACCAAACTTTCTGCCGTCCAAAGAATTTGAATTCTGAAACCTCAAAGAGTCACAAAGCCTCCTGGTTGTCAAAATCTACCCCAAAGAAGACCAAGAAGATAGACCATTATTAGTAGAAAGTGAGCCAAAAGAGACAGAATCTGGAGCAACAAGAAGACTGCACAGTAAGACACACACACACATACACACACACACACACACAGAGACACAGACAGACAGACACACACACACACACATGCACGCATACACACGCATCTCTGTTTGGTATAGAATAGTCTATCTGAAAGGACATCATCATTTATGCGCTAAGATTTGACCCCTGTTGAAAATGCATGTCTCTATATGAATGTTGATACTTGAAGCCAGTGATGGTCATTTATGCTGGGCCTCTGATCTTCATCAGAAAGTAGATTTAATGTTGCTGAGGAAGGGGAGGAGCATAAACGGGATGGGGGTAAGAGAGGAGCACAGGGAGTCTTGCTGCCAGCCTAGAGCAAAAGTCTTTGCCCAGTAGCCCAAAGATGTTCCTGATTTATCTTCTGGGGATTGATAGAGGTCAGCTGTGCCTCATCTCCTAGGGAGATTGGGGGTGGAGTGATCTATGAAAAAGGCTGACTGTTCTGACTGTGTGTGTGGAAGGAGTGCCTTCCTACAAGCGGCCTGCCCAGCTGAACTCAAAATCCTTTAGGAGGTCTATGTTTGCTCACATCCCTGCTTTCTCTCAGGTAAACACATCTTTTTTTCTAACTTGAACAAAGACAGTGCTCCCAAGTGTTGTGACAGCCTGTTTTTATAGTTACTGACATATGACTTATCACAGTGATTGTCAGAGCAATGGAAGAAAATGAAATTTAGTAGAAGCAGGTAGTGGGGGGATGAGGAGAGAGAAGAAAGCTGTTGAAGAGACTTGAGGATGGAGTTGATGGCTTGTTACATTTAACCTACAGTATGATAGCTGAATGTGGACACAGGAGGGATTACAATGGTAGTGTATGACAATGGCCCCTGGCAAAAACCAGCCTGATACCCTTGTATCAGGCTGTACTTCACCCAGGATTCATATGCCTGACTGTCTACATGAGTGGTTTGTTCCTATTAGCTAAGTTCTGCTTCTGCCTAAATTATGATTTAATTGTAGAAAGTAAAGACTTTCTATAGACTTTTAAAGACATTTTTTGCCATGATGCCTGCCATAAAGCAGGTCATGTCCTAAATTGAGCTTTAGGGTAAGTTGAACTGGTGCTTTCCTTCCTGACTGGCAGCATCTCATCATTTATTGGAGCATAGGGAAAGAAGAGAGAAATGGAGCCCATCAAACAAGAACTTGGTGTGTACTTAAAACTTAGCTAAGAAATTTTCCTGTGCTCTCTTCTTCCTCTAGTTATGAAGTGAGGCTAAATATGATTGAATATGAAAACTTAAAATATCTTATTTTAAAGAAAGTCATGTGATTTTCTCGGAGATACACTCAACTCCTTCATGTCTCTCAGCAAATATTTATACATCATCCCTTATGTAGTAGGTATTGATTCAGTACAGATAGGGTAAGCATGGAAAGAATTGGGCATTAGACTTATATCTCACATTTAAGATTAGGCAGTTCTATAAATAAGGCTAACCAATAGTACAAGGTACTGTGAGATTGGTGGCAAGTGAAGGGAAGAGCCAGTGAGCTGCAAGAATTCTGAGGTGAGTAGCTGGGAAAGCCTTAGTGCATATTTAACATGTGAAGTCACCTAGGCACTTAGGTGAATGGGGAATGGGTCACAGAACAAATAAGTTTTGTTGAGAATGATAAGCTGGACTGAATAGGAAACATGTTCACACTTCTCTGCTTCATTACTCATCTAAATCTCTCAGACCTGTTCTTTCCAGGGAGCTCATCTACCTTCCATTCATTTGCCTTGTCTCAGAATTACTGTTCTAGGAATCCTAAGACTTAGGTAGACTTCCAGAAAATCAGAGTGGCCTGGTGCACAGCTTCTTAAACTTTTACCACTCACAACCGCATTTCACCCAATAAATATTTATCCAACCCCGCCTATATAGGTATATAAAATAGGTACACAAGCCAAAAATTTGCTGATACTAAATCATAAAGAAATTTTGTCTAAAATAATGCTTCAGTATACTTTATTAAAGATGAAAACAAATGTGCATACTAATGAGATTGATGTGCTTGTTTATTTTTATATCAAGAATTAAATCTTGGATAAATATTTGATACCACAGAATATGGAACATCTTCAATGTTTTTCAGAGGTGATCAATATTTTGACTATATAGTATTCAATGCTAAGAATGTTGCTTTACATAACTATATAGTACAAAATGGCAGAATTATGTGTAGGGCCATTTAAGAAATTTTTTGAAATTCTGCGCTATTTCCAAGTCAAAATTCTCTAAATGACTCTGGAACAATACAACCAGCAGCTTAAAAATAAACTATTCTAATACAATACAATGCAAAGATACACTCATTTAACACTTAAAATGCTGAGAAATTATGGCAGGAAAGTCTTAAAAATCTTTATTTTCTATAATTAAATGACTATGTTTCTGTATAACAACAGAAAACTTGGTATGTCCAATAAACAGTGCAATTCATATCAGACATAGCCTCAAATCTGAGCTGTGGTATTGCATGCAACATTTGTTGGCATTGTATAGAATACAGAACCAAGGCAGTGAGTTCATGTGCTACAGCATGGATAAACACTGTCCAAAACACCTCAGGCTCATTGCATGCTTGAGTGTGAATCGTTTTTTTTTTTTTTTAGTTATTGTGCATTCAGAATGACTATTAATGTTTCTAATTTTAAAAAAGATTTATTTTCTTACTTGGAATCATGTGTATGTGTGTGTATATGCACATGAGTGCCCGCAGAGGCCAGAAGAGGGTATCAGATTCACTGGAACTGGAGTTACAGGTGGTTGTGAACCACCTGACATAGGTGCTGGAAATGAACTCAGGTCCTCTGTAAGGCCTGTGTGTGCTTTTAACCTCTGAGCTATTTCTTCAGGTCCTGTTGCCTGAGCCATATCTCTAGCTCCTGTTGCCAAATTTTTGCAACCCCCACATTCAGTTGTGTGATGAGGGCCTAGTGGTGAGGAAGGAATTCAGGAGCTTGAATTCCAACTCTGACACTGTGATCTTGAACAATTGACATGGCAATTGTTTCTCACTGAGGATGATAACAATAATCTCTAGCTTTCAGAGTCCCCTGGAGGATTAAATGAAGCAAGTCAAGATGCTTACCCACTGCTGACTGCATATTACTCATTTCTTAAGTGCATTTTTATCAAGTACCTGTGATATTGTGGGTACTTTTTCTGGTAGTGTGATATAACAAGTAACAAGAGAGAAGAATTTTTTACCTTCTTTAAGGCTATGTTAAATGCTGATGGAGAAGAAGGGGGACTTAGGTCATTTTTCTCCACCATGTCTGTAACGCAGGCAAGATGGCCCTCATTAGAGGTATCTTGGACATTTAGCCTCCAAATCGGCAAGGACAATGAAGTCTCTTTATTTTATAAAGTACATAACCTCAAGAATTTTGTCAAAACAACAAATAACAAACTAATATGAAAAGACACTGAAGTTACTGAATGTATGGACAGGAATGAAAGGATTGCTATCATAAATTAGAAACAATAAGCCAACCTCAATGTTCATGATGCCGTCTGAGAAGCAAAAAAAAAAAAAAAAAAAAAAAATTAATGCAGAGAGACTAAGGAGGAAATTTTTATGTTAGTATAAGACAGTGATTCTCAAGCCTGAGCATGCATCAAGAATTCTCAGGAGGGCCTGTTAAGGCACAGCTTATTGGGAAACATCCCAGAGTTTATGAATTAGTACTCTCGTGGTGGGTTCTTAAGGTTTTACATTTCTAGTAAGTTCTCAGGTAGTGCTGATGCCACTGGTCTAGGACTATACTTTGAGAATCCCCTATTTAGGAAACAGATGACAAGAACAGTGTCATACTAATGGAAGAGCAGATAAGAAAGAAAGAGGGAGGAAATCATAGGGCTTAGAGATAAGACACGAGGGCAGGATTGACTGCCAAATCAGTTGATTACGGAGTCTGAAACTTAGGTGCCTTGGAGGATATGAGACTCACAGAAGCAAACTTTCAAATATCTAGGAGTAAAATTCAGTCACATAATAAGCAGTAGGAAAATATATGAGGCCTTGTACTTATCAGTGCCTGCATGGTGGTGCTCGTTTAAAGTCTTGTCTGCAGAAGAGAAGCTTGTCAGAAGGAGAAAGCTCAGGTCGATGTTTGATCTCTTCTAGAATGTAATGTTGAGTAAAGGAAGAATATGAAGATAGAATTGGAGAGTGGTAAAAAAAAGTAAGTCCATATTCTAGAAGTGTAGAACATGCCTTTGAGTACTTAAGAATTGAATATATATTAGTAAATTAAAAAAAGGGAAAAGCAAATGACTGAATCTGAGCATAGGCCACACAGGGCAGCTCTGGGACAACGCCTGAGATAACTGATACGGTTTCTGACATTGGCCTTCTCAATTCCAGACTTTTTAACCGTTCCTTTAGACCCTGATGCCCTGATGTTCCTGGTTATTTTCCAGTCTATTAGGAGTTCTCTTACCTGCTTCTCTCCACTGGGTTTCCTGTAGCTGAGCAGAAGCTCCACAGCACCTACTACTTCCTTGCGGATGGCGTAGAGTAATGCATCGCCCACATACACACTGTGGTTCAGCAATAGCTCCATGATTTCCAAGTTCTCATTCTCAATGGCAATGAGTAGGGCACTCCTACCCAAAGGATCCATGCAGTTTATGTTGACATTGTAGTAGATCTCTGCCTCCTGCAGTGCCTGCTTCACAGTGGCATAGTCTCCCTTCTCCACAGCATTGAGGAAAGCCTTCTCTTCAGCAGAGAGCTCCGTCTCAGCCCTCACGATTTGCAGGGGGATGCGGTCTCTGTACGGTGAGTAATTTACCTTCTTGTAGTACAGCTGGGCCATAATTCATAGCAATTTAGAAAGCTAAGTGAGGAGAGAGAAGACCAAAGTTATTTTTAGTTACCTGAAGGTTTCAAATGGCCACTCTGAGAAGGCGGCCCTTCTACCCCTTAGATTGGAAAACCCCTAAGTGTTTTAATGACACCATTATTTTCCTTATGCCAAAAGCCCAGGCTTTCATGTCAGAAAGACTTAGCCTCTAACACTGATTTAACACTTATGAGCTCTGTGATCTTGGATAAGCCACTCAAACTCTCTCCCTTAAATTGTTTCTAATATGATCCATATTAATAATATTTTAGGAGTGACTGCATCCTATGTACCAAGTCTTGTTTTGGAGAATAACTTCTGCCTTGAAAAGACATTGTGAGAGTTAAAGGAGGTATATATTAACAGAGCAAATGACAGCATAAATCTCCTAACATAGCACAAGTTAGTTCTGTCCTTCCTTCCCTTCTGCTGTTGAAAATCCTCATGTTAATACTGATCAGTGATGTAAAGTGGAGGTCATCTCTGTCCAGCTTCTTTTGAGCCCAGGGTCTGTAGGTATGTGCTAATTTTCAAGATTATATTTGTTACTCTCTTGGATGTATATGCCCGATTGAAATATCATTTTAGGAATTGGAGATACATACAGATCAAGTTGGAGAGTGCTTGCCTAGCATCCATAAAACACTGATACCTAGCAACACACAAACTGGGTGATGGTGCCTTCCTGTATTCCCAGAACTCACAAGGTAGAGGCAGGAAGATCAGAAAATCAAGGTCATCCTTAGTCACACAGTAAGGTCAAGGCTTGCCTGAATACATAAGACCCTGTACCAAAAAATGATAAAAAGGGAAAGGAAAAATAAACATGATTTTAGTGCTAATTACAGTCCTTATTCTTCCTGCTGCTCACTGGGGAAGAAGAGATGTTGACTCCAACAGGCCAAAGCCATTTGCAAAAGATAAGCATGTACTCACTCCCTCTGCCAAACCCTGATTTCTTTCTGCCACCACTCCAAAACCAGAAGCTAACAGATTTGAAAATTGATTTGATTTAATTCTGAGAAGTGAATGGTCTGTTTTGTTTGTACCAGATCTAAGGCCAGATCATACTTAATAGAACTGATTTTAAAGTAAAACCCTATTTACTGAGCTCCTACAATGTGTTTAAACTTTCTCTGAAAGACCAAGAAATAAAAAAGCATCTTTTCTTCCATTCACACAGAATGACTCACAGGACAGAGCTCTTGCTTTTTGCATAGATCAGATTCACTCACATTCCTTTTATTGGCCCTGTGAGGTAGAAAGATGGTCCTCCTGAGAGGAGAAAATGAAGGTTAGATCCATTGGCTGATTGGCTGTTCCCTCCCATCCCTAAGGTCTTCAGTCCCCTCTGGGGTTAGGATGGACTTATCTCAGTGCTTTTCATCAAGGAACTAATTTGCCAATAAAAGGAAAGGGAAGTGTGATAAAGAGCCCTTTGTCTTATCTCCTGGTTGTAAGAGAAGGCACAGAGCTTCCACAAACATTTATTCACTCTTTCAGGTAATTACATCCCTGCTTTGGCAGAGGGAGAAGTATACATTATGTCAAGTGGCATTTGCAATTCATGTCCTTGTGATCTTCTGGGAAGTTAGTGTTTGAAGATGAGGGCTGTCTTTTGCCCTGAACAAGGCCAAATGAAAAATTTCTTTCTGCGTTGAGCTCTCAGGAGGGCAAGGTGCTTCTCAGCTCTCTAGAGAGGCACAGATATTGTCTTTTACTACTTTCAAGTAACGACTCAGCAGTGGCCAAAGAAAAGCAGGACTTAGAGGAAAGCATTTGCCCCTGAAGAGCAAATGACTTTAATAGTACTAATTTTAGACCTCCTTTCTGCCTTTATGTTGTCAATAGAAAGTGGAAGGGCAGAACAGTGTGAGCTCTAGAAGGAAGACTTGCCAGTCCATGGGCTTCTGTCATCAAAGTTTACTTCATCAACAGAAACACACTGAGCACTTCCAGTGTGCCCAGCACACTGCTAGGTAACATAATAGAACCAGCTCTGCCTTTACCATCTCTCACCTGCACCACTACCACACCTTGGAACCGATTGACTATCCTGACTCCTTTCTCTCCTCCTGAATTTTCCATTCTGCCATTAAGATATCCCATGAAGCACAACTTTGATTCAATTTTTCTTCTCTTTCATTGTTCCCTGATGTGTGTGTGTGTGTGTGTGTGTGTGTGTGTGTGTATGTGTGTGTTTGTTTGTTTTCTGTGTGTACTTACAGGTATACATACATGTGAAGGTAAGGGACTACTATTGGGTGTCTCATTCTATGGCTCTCTAGTTTTCACTTTTTCTTCTCTCTCTCTGTCTCTCTCTCTGTCTCTCTCTCTCTCTCTCTCTCTCTCTCTCTCTCTCTCTCTCCCTCTCTCTCTCTCTAGGATATTTCATTGAATCTGAAGACACTGACTGCTAGACTGTCTAACTGTCTAATCAGGAAGCCCCAAGGATCTTGTTTTCAATTTCCCAGCTCTGAGGTTATAGGCATGTGCCACCATGCCCAGCTTTTTTATTGTACGTGCCAAGGACCCAAACTCAGGTTCTCATGCTTGTGTGGAAAGCACTTTACCAACTAAGCCATCTCTCTAGCCCCTCCTTGTAGTCTTGAAATTATTTGAGTTCTGCATGGTCTCTAATATCTTCTAAGCCTTTCACCCTAGCCACAACTGTTCATCTCTGGGCGAGCCTTTCAATTATTACAAGTTGTGAAGGTTTTTCCTACACCAAGACATTTTATTTTATAAATGTCATGTTGTGCAATGCCTGCGGAGTACAGAAGAGGCTGTCAGATCCCCTGGAACTGGAGTTGCGGACAGTTGTTAGCTGCCATATGGGTGCTGGGATTTGAACCTGGGTCTTCTGCAAGAACAGTCAGTATTCTTAACCGCTGAGCCATATCTCCACCCCTCACCAAGACATTTTAATACAGCCTAGAACATTCTTTGCCAGCTCTTTTCATCTTTTAGGTCTTCTTAAACTATCACTTCCCCACTGACCAAGCTCTCTAAAATAGTTCTTTCATATTCTTTTCTCCATGATGCTCTGCCCTCTTCCTTCTTGATACTTGTCAAAATTTATGCTTAAATTTCTTTATCTAATGGGTTAATTGTCCTGTCCAAATAGCCTTAGCATTCAAGTGTAAGAATTGACTCAGGGTCCTGTTTTTTCTGGCACCCACTCTTAGTCCAGTAGCTGGCACACCCTGAACACTTGATAGATACTTGATTGAATGAGCCTTTCTTCTATATTGTTCCCTTATCTCTTTCCATTCCATCTCAGGTTCTAACCATATTGAGCCATATTCTATCTTTTCCTTTTTTTCTGACAAATTCTTTGCACCTACTCAACCCCATTCTCTCTACTTAGTACACTTCTTCTGTTTCAGCACCTTAATCGTAAAACCCTTTCTCTGAAAATCCTTCACACAATTCCCACAGAAAGTGTGCTTGAGCGTATGTATGTGTACCACATGTGTTCAGTGCTAGCAGAGGCCAGAAGAGAGCATTGAATCCCCTGGAACCGGAGTTACAGTCTGTTCTTAGCCACCATATGAGTGCCGGGAACTGAACCTGGGTCCTCTGCAAGAGCAGCAAGTACTCTTAACTGTTGATCCATCACTCCAGCCCCATTGATCACATTTCTTCACTGACTGCTTGTTTGTTTTCTTACTACTAGGGCAGTTATACTCTGGTCTCTGCAGTCTCAGAATTCACACAGGTCTGGGACATGATAGGCAGTCAGTTAACGGGAATTTAAGAAGCAAAAACAATTGAGTACTGGAACAGTTAAGTACTAAATAGGTAGCACTAATCTGATGCTTTGTGATCTCAAAAAGGGCTCAGTAATGACTAGAGGTCTCAGAAATGGCTTCATGGAGTTGGTAACTCTTTTTAAAAATATTTTATTACTTTTATTTTATGTGTATGAGTGTATTGCCTGCATGTAAGTGAGTGCGTCTGTGTTGTGCAATGCTGCGGAGGTCAGAAGAGGGCTTCAGATTCCCCTGGAACTGGAGTTAAGTACAGTTCGCAACCGCCATATGGGTGCTGGGAATCGAACCTGGGTCCTCTGCAAGAGCAGTCGGTGCTCTTAACCCCTGAGCCATCTCTCCAGCCTGGAGTTGGTAACTCTTAAATTAATCTTTGGAGGATTAATGAAATTGCAAATTTGAGGACAGTCCTGCCCCATAGAGGGCAAGAGTAAAAGTGGTGAGGCTGATCATTGTCTGGCTGGAAGATGGTTATGGAGGGCAGAGGAGGCTATTTTTCAGGCTACAGTAGCATACAAGATTTAGAAGTACATAACCTTGGTTTTCCCATCAGAGAAAGGTTCCCAAACATTCACCCATTTGCCACCATAGAAAAAAAGACTGGATAGTCTTCTCTCATTGTGTTGGGCTAAGCATTATAGGGAAGATCTAAGACACCAGTGTGGGGGGAAACAGAAGATATATGTGTCTCAGGCAAAAGTGAAAATGAACGAAACTGACTCATTCGGCTCCCTAGTATATTCCAGGCTTTATGCCAGGATCTGGGGCAATAAAGATATAAAAATAATTATTATAGTTTTGAATCGTTAATGTTTCCTGGGCACTGTGCCAGTTATTGGGGTAGAACTATCACTACAACTGCTTCTAATGGCAATAGTAATGAATGCAGCAAGCCGTGCCATTCATTAAATTCTCACCATGTGCCAGATGCTGAATGCATGGGTTAAAATAATAAAGGGAGTTGCCACTCAACTCATGATAATTTGAGACTTGAAGTAAATATAATGGAACGACACATAGTCAAATCAAAATCTAGCCTTACATTTCATCTCTTACATTTGGGCTTATCTACTCTATTTTGTTTCCAGTGAGGTGTGCTATAAGAGGCCTCATAGAATCCTTTTGTTGGAACGCTTATCTACAGAATTTTGCTTGACATGATATGGCAGAGTCAGTCTTTGGCATTAAGAGACTACAGCTGCAAAACAACCACTGGAAGCA